TTAACGTGTCGTTTAAAAGAAGACTTGAAATAATTTAGTTCGAAAATGTTGCTCAACAAAAGAATTACATTGTGTATACTATGACAAACAAGGCTAAACTTTCGCCCAAAGCAAGATGATGATTTTTTTTAATTACACAGATTAGAAAGTATCTGTCTATATTACACCATCTTCTCTCTTCAATATGAATATCTTCTGATCAGAGGTGGGTTCCTTCTTAGCGGAGGTCTTTCCTCAATCCTGGTCTCGGATGGATGAGAGAACTCCAAGGGACTGGTTCCACCACTCTGGTCCCAGATTCTGGCTAGCTGGTCTTGCTGACAGAGACTCAGTTTCCCCTCCGCCCCCCCCCCCCCCCCCCCCCCCCCCGGCATAACCCCGGGGACAACTTATTCTTCTTCTCTTGAAAGTTCTTCATCCCCCATACTCAGCACCTCTTCCCACCTCTTTCAAATATGAGCTCTATGATAGGTTATCACATGTCCATTTATTAAAATTTTGTAATAAACTTTAGTTCCTTTCTTACCCACAATCTTCCCTGGGATCCCTCTATTACCACCTCTAACATTTTTACAACATAATAGATCGTCTATTTTGAAATCAACTGTCTGTTTCTGACGATCGTACTGGCTTGTTGGTCCATAACTCGAGATGCCAAACTGGGATGTATTAACGATACTCGCGTGCGAAGTACAAGCACAATAAAAAGCTCGGAAAAAGTCCTTCCCGTTGTTTCATGAAGAGTGGTTCGATGAGTCAACAGAACAGTGGATCCTGAATGGTATCCCTCTTTTTTATATTTCTATATAAGGCTGTTTTTATCATTTCAACAGCTCTATCAGCCAAATCATTACTTTGAGGATGTAAGCGGGGATCAAGAAAGCCTGCTTTATTCCATTTATTTCCAAGAACCTTTTTATCTCTCCACCTTAAATAGCGATTCATTACCTGACACGAATTCCTCCAGTAACCCATAAACTGAAAAAGGCCGTCTCAGTTGCTCATTATCTGAGTTTGAAGGACAACCATAACGAAATTGATCTTTTACATCTAAATTTTCCATGTTTAAAAAACCAGTAAACTAATTCAAAATATAAAACTATTTTAGAGGCGTAATATTCTTTTTAAAATAAAACAATTTCTACTGTCCTTACTGCGATGGAAAAATTAAAGGGAGGGCCTGGCTCATCAGTGGTGAACCCTCCCAGCGGTTTCGCCAGTTTAATCTACAGTAAGGACAGTAGAAATTGTTTTATTTTAAAAAGAATATTACGCCTCTAAAATAGTTTTATAATTTGATAACAGATGGCGCTCTAGTACATCGTAACATAATTCAAAATAGTTGCCTTCAAAATACCTGTTATTTTTAGCGAATATTTTGAGAAAAACTTCATAATTAAGACCTTTTTCAAATCCTTATAAATCAAAGAGAAATCCGAGAGAAATGGAGCCCACCACGGTGGGCGGGAGCTGTTGTAACTAATGGCCTAACAGTTCAATGACGCAGCCAACTCTGACCTTGAAGATTGTCGCTGCTCAGTAAAAGCATTACTCGTCTTGTTTGAGCAGTTGTTCAAAGAATAATTTCTTTAAATAAAACATATACTTATTTTTGTCCTTAAGTGCGAAGAAAAAATATTGGGAAGAGGCCTGACTCATCAGTAACAAATACTCCACAAATTACAGAGTGCTTGCCACAGAAAGAAAACAAGGGGAAGTCAGTCTTGTGGGGAAAGCACAAACCACAAATTGCATAGTATCTGCCTCCAAAGAAGACCTGGGGAAGTCAGTCTTGTGGGAAAAGCACAAACCACAAATTTCAGAGTGCCTGCCTCAGAAATAAGACCTTGGGAAGTCAGTTTTGTGGGAAAAGCACAAACCACAAATTGCAGAGTGTCTACCTCAGAAATAAGACCTGGGGAAGTCAGTCTTGTGGGGAAAGCACAAACCACAAATTGCATAATATCTGCCTCCAAAGAAGACCTGGGGAAGTCAGCCTTGTGGGGGAGGCACAAACCACAAATGGCAGAGTGCCTGCCTCAGAAAGAAGACCTGGGTAAGTGAGTCTTGTGGGGAAAGCACAAACCACAAATTGCAGAGTTTTTGCCTCCAAAGAAGACCTGGGGAAGTCAGTCTTGTGGGAAAAGCACAAACCACAAATTTCAGAGTTCCTGCCCTTGAAATAAGACCTGGGGAAGTCAGTCTTGTGGGGAAAGCACAAACCACAAATTTCAGAGTGTCTGTCTCCAAAAAAGACCTGGGGAAGTCAGTCTTGTGGGAAAAGCACAAACCACAAATTGCAGAGTGTCTACCTCAGAAATAAGACCTGGGGAAGTCAGTCTTGTGGGGAAAGCACAAACCACAAATTGCAGAGTGTCTACCTCAGAAATAAGACCTGGGGAAGTCAGTCTTGTGGGGAAAGCACAAACCACAAATTGCATAGTATCTGCCTCCAAAGAAGACCTGGGGAATTCAGTCTTGTGGGAAAAGCACAAACCACAAATTGCAGAGTGCCTGCCTCAGAAAAAGGACCGTGGGAAGTCAGTTTTGTGAGAAAAGCACAAACCACAAATTGCAGAGTTCCAGCCTCAGAAATAAGACCTGGGGAAGTCAGTCTTGTGGGGGAGGCACAAACCACAAATGGCAGAGTGCCTGCCTCAGAAAGAAGACCTGGGTAAGTGAGTCTTGTGGGGAAAGCACAAACCACAAATTGCAGAGTTTTTGCCTCCAAAGAAGACCTGGAGAAATCAGTCACGTGGGCAAAGCACAAACCACAAATTTCAGAGTGTCTGCCTCAGAATGAAGACCTGGGGAAGTCAGTCACGTGGGGAAAGCACAAACCACAAATGGCAGAGTGTCTGCCTCCGAAATAAGACCTGGAGAAGTCAGTTGCGTGGGGAAAGCACAAACCACAAATTGCAGAGTGTCTTCCTCAGAAATAAGACATGGGGAGTCAGTCGCGTGGGGAAAGCACAAACCACAATTGCAGAGTGTGCGCCTCAGAATGAAGACCTGGGGAAGTCAGTCACGTGGGGAAAGCACAGACCACAAATTGCAGAGTGCCTGCCTACAAAGAAGACCTGGGGAAGTCAGTCTTGTGGGGAAGCACAAACCACAAATTGCAGAGTGTCTGCCTCAGAATGAAGACCTGGGGAAGTCAGTCACGTGGGGAAAGCACAAACCACAAATTGCAGAGTGCCTGCCTACAAATAATACCTGGGGAAGTCAGTCTTGTGGGGAAAACACAAACCACGAATTGCAGAGTTCCTGCCTCAGGAAGAAGACCTGACCCACTCCCGGCAGGAGATCCTGCCAAGATAAACGGCCAACCATAAAACTTACACTTCCTAATCTTTGTTCGCTCACTCTCAAAGACAATTTGATGGATCCTTTTGGTCATAATGACAGATCGTTTCAATCAGTTGGTTTTAAAATAAAAGAACATTTTTAAAGGAGAGTTCCTTTTAACACCAATATTTTTTAGCCTCCTTTGGTTTTTTAAAGGAACTTTAAGGCCAATTTTTTAAAAATCCCATTATAAAATATTTAGGCTTATCTAGGAAGCGAATATATTTCCACTACTTTATCTTTCTTTCCTTATTTCTTGGTCGACCAGGGATGTGGAATTTTGAAATATTGCTTCTATTTATAACGAAGGAAAAAAGTTCAATAACAATTAAAAGGCCAATGCTTTTTACACACCTCCAATAAGATTTCGTAAACATTTTAAAATATTAATTAATCATATTTTTAAGAAACTTATAAAGCCTATTTACCACTTTATTAAAATTTTGAATTCAATCGTTTAAAAATAGAAATATTAGTTTTATTATTAAATATTTCAAATGTACCGTCCTTAATAAGAAATGATGGCAGTTTTCTGTAAATTCCACATAGTATGATCCATTAGTACACTATCCGTTATAAGAAATTGAAACGCGTCTAAAATAATTACAATTTCCACATAGTATTCTGTGCGATGTTTGCATATCTGAGAATACTTCGAAAAATAGCTATTCCAGCATATATTTGAATACTAACATAAAATGAAAATAGGTGATAAACCTAAAGTTCATAGATTTCAAAATTTTAAAAACAAAAGACTTTAATTAAATGAAGTAACTTGTAGTAGACCAGATTAGATCTCCTGATGCGAAAAATTTATTTCTTTGTGAATACAAACACGATCAGTCGAGCAACTGAAGAAGAACTTGAAACTCGTGTTTTCGCAAAGAAAAAGTTTCACCTCACAATTGCACTGAATAAATAACGGTTGATTATCCTTGAAAAAACAACCTTACCACAACCATATGAGATTAACCCGTAGATACTTGGAGTTTTTTTTTTTTCAGAAGATCTTATCATCATCGTAGAAGAATGTCTTAACATAGAGTTCATACAGAGGATCCTCTTCCATATTTAGGACTCCACTAATTCAGGGGACACTTGCTCTGTGAGTTCCTTTACCAATGGTATGTGAGAACTTTAGTTCCCGACTAGAATATTCCAGGGTTGGTTATCAATACCCGAATGTATATTTTCGTCTGCTACTACCCTCACATACTACTATTCTTAATACTGCAAAATATAGAACACGGAATGTCCTCAACAAAAATTTTGACTGGCCATGGCTACATTCAGGCAGACTATACAAAAGTATTGAAGGAAGACTTCAATTGTCACCATTTCCGAGGCGAAGACCAAACCGTGGACTACCTCCTCTTCACCTCTCTTCCCAACCTTCCAATACCAAAGATTCCTGACGGCCACCCTCTTAGGGATCACAAATGTTAGTTCATCATCCCTAGAGAAACTCCCAAGAAAGAAATCTGCATGGCGCAACCTCATGAATTTGACTTTCACTAGCATTGTGAATAACGCCAAGAAGACTTAGGTCAGAAGGACAGCCGGGTATAGTTGGCGACTTTTGTATGTTCCAGGAACCTGCTCGTTTAGCTATTATCCCTATTACCTGTGGTACAACCATGAAGAAAGGTAATAGCCTACAGCACCCCCAGATGGTCGCCTTCCCAAGTACTGACCGACATTGCTTAACTTCGGTGATCGGACGAGAACAGTGTTTTCAATGTGGTATGGCTGTAGGCTTATAGATTCTTAATACTAATCAATGTAACATGTCAAATAATTCAAAACCAACAAGAAATATATTCTGTACGTTTGTAAGGGATATAAAGTGAATGAATCCTACTCTCCCAATATATAAAGTTATAATTTAGATGTTTGTAAAGCTACCCATCACCCAGTTTACAAGGTTGATGGAATCTCATTCCGCGACATCTTCCGTCACTGCTGGGAAGGAGATGGAATCAGTAGAGGAAGATGGCATCGGCGGGCTTACGGTACCCATCAATGTGACCAGAACTTCCGCTGGGCAAAGACAGGTGTCTGTGGTGTACAGGATGAGAAGGATCTGGGGTCCGGCAAGTACTGCCGAGATTTCCTCGTCTCCATACCCGTGCCAAAGGCGATCAGAAACTATTTTAAATTGATATCATAATAAGAAACAATATATTAATAAGTTAATATAATGACTAATATATGTGATTAAACGGCTTTCTAAACTTGTATAACGGCGCTAGAAATTATTTCGTGTTAAACGGGTAAAGTTCTATTGTATACACATCTCTAGGTCAGCAGTTATAAACAATTGATCAAACACATTGTTTCAAGCTTCCCATTTGAGAAATTGAGGAGAATCCCCATCCCAACAGGAGCACGTGTCTCAAGCAATTTTACGATTTACAAATGCATCCCTTACCCGGTTCCTACAGATCCTGGAATGTTCTATTATAGAACCCAATTGAATGACTAAGCTCCATATTCCTCGGGCTATGAATATGATTTAGCGAATAAACTGCCACAGAGATCATCTTGACTCAAGAAGGATTGTTGATTGTAGCGCCTATGGGACAAAAGATAGCCTTGCCTTGGTACCACACCTTAATCAGAGTGGTCTTCTTCACCCTCTATCTGCTGTCAGAGCAGATCTAGATGGGAAACTTTGCCATTCACCTTCTTGGAAAAATGATATAGGCGTTTATAGATATTTCCTGATGCTTTAGTTGAGACTCATCAATCAATACGAACGGAAGCATAATTTGAAGCAGGATCTTAAACTGTGCAAAATGTTTATTACTCCGCTTGCATTGACAAAGTGAATAGACTATTTCAATATATAATTAGATCACGTTGTGTGTGAAAACATAGCTTGAGAGGGCATGACCGTTTATATTCCATTTCTCTACTTTCTGATATCACCTGTCAACTTCACTGTTTGACAGCCACTCGAGATATTCATTACATTCCTTGATGGCCTCCATTCGAGATTTCTAATTGGTTCTCCTGTCACAACTGACGTGCTCAGCAATGGCGAAATCCAGTTTCAACCAAGTGATAAATGACATTGAAGAATGGTTTCCCATTTCTCTCCAACAGAAGAAAATTAAAAGAATATATCTCTGATGGTATCTATATTTTGTCAGTGAAGATATCTTAATTTAGGTTTCTAGCTCAACTTCGGCGGAATTCTCAATTTTTCATTGGAGTTAGTCAGCAAATATTTGAAGATCTAAAGGATAATCTATTTCCTATAGAAAGATATTGAGTGTTTGTGTGCGTTTTAGGTTAACGAATTATTCGTTATGAGCAGGAATCTTTCGGCGAGACATTGATACATAGAAATAGGCTTACTGCAAATATATACATATAGATATTAAACGGAAATTTTGAAAATCAGCTTAAGCCACACTGGATATTGAGTCTTGCATACCCGTGCTGGATGGGCAGTTCAGATACCCTGGAGCTCTTGCTTTGTATAAATCGGCCACCAAATTTCAATGATTTGAATGTTTGATCGAAACGTCTTTGTATACCTATTTTCATATAAATTTGACAACTCCTTCTTGGTGCGTCGATTTTTTGTTATAGAGTGTATTTTTATATATTTAAAATTTTATTGTTTTTCCTATTTAAAAAAATAAAATGCAAAAAAATATTAATATATACAGTTATCAGCGTCATAATCAATTCTTTCTTAATCAATTCTGTCACCGTTTGCTTTGGTGAATGGAATAAATACCCAAATATGGCCATTTCTCATAACCATCGATGGTTCAGTGGTAGAATGCTCGCCTGCCAGAGGGGCGGCCCGGTATCGATTCCCGGCCGATGCATTTTTTTTTTACAATTTTTAAAATTAATTTATGTATTATACAAGAATGACATCCATGGCGTCAATTTATAATTGTAACGAATAGTATTTGAATAAAAGCATTTAATCGGGTAAAACCCGAGCGTTGCCCGGGTCATTCGGCTAGTATATATATAAATATAAATTTACTCTATGTTTTAAAGAAGAAAATTTGCTTCTTGTGTGGATAAGCGAGAAGTAACTAGCAAATGATTACAAGAATTTAACCTGTGAGAAGGCAGATATGGTCTTGTAGCTCGTGAGTAAAATGCCAAACAAGATCAATATGCAAGCTATAGTTAGTTACCCAGAAATTTTTTGAATAAGTAAAACTAGATTTTGGGTAAATAGTTTTGGCAAAGAGTTGGGCAAATATCACAGGCTCTTCCAAGAGAGTAGCTGCAAATATTTGTTATATTTAGCTGTTCTATGCACAATTTTTCATAAGTGAAGGTGGACCAACCGCTGCAAAGGTTGAACAATTAGGCCATCGGCCTCCTGACTCACAGGAGAGTGTGTAAGAGGATATCCGATGGTCCAGGCTATAGAAATAATTGTGGAGATCACTGGCTGGAGATTCGGAAAGTGGCAGTCAGCAGCAGGAGAAGGTGAATCGACTCCGGAGGTCGTCCTATCAAAACCAAGTAATTAAGTAGATGGAATGAGAATTAAAGCATCCACCCAGTGCTTAGCTGTGATTGATGAGGCCATCAACCCGTCTTTAAATATAGGTCTGTTGCGTGGGATATCTTCGTGACGGGAGTATGCTTGTGTCCGGCTCTGGGGACTGCATATTGTGGGCCGTGTGCAGCATTGGGGACTGCATGTTGTGGACCATGTACAGCACTGGGGACTGCATGTTGTGGACCATGTGCAGCACTGGGGACTGCATGTTGTGGACCATGTGCAGCACTGGGGACTGCATGTGTGGACCATGTACAGCACTGGGGACTGCATGTTGTGGACCATGTGCAGCACTGGGGACTGCATGTTGTGGGCGATGTCCGGCTCTGGGGACTGCATGTTGTGGGCCGTGTGCAGCATTGGGGACTGCATGTTGTGGACCATGTGCAGCACTGGGGACTGCATGTGTGGACCATGTACAGCACTGGGGACTGCATGTTGTGGGCGATGTCCGGCTCTGGGGACTGCATGTTGTGGGCGATGTCCGGCTCTGGGGACTGCATGTTGTGGACGATGTCCGGCTCTGGGGACTGCATGTTGTAAACGATGTGCAGCATTGGGGACTGCATGTTGTGGGCCGTTTGCAGCATTGGGGACTGCATGTTGTGGACGATGTGCAGCATTGGGGACTGCATGTTGTGGGCCGTTTGCAGCATTGGGGACTGCATGTTGTGGACGATGTCCGGCTCTGGGGACTGCATGTTGTGGGCCGTTTGCAGCATTGGGGACTGCATGTTGTGGACGATGTCCGGGCCTGGGGACTGCATGTTATGGACGATGTCCGGCTCTGGGGACTGCATGTTGTGGGCCGTTTGCAGCATTGGGAACTGCATGTTGTGGACGATGTCCGGGCCTGGGGACTGCATGTTATGGACGATGTCCGGCTCTGGGGACTGCATGTTGTGGGCCGTTTGCAGCATTGAGGACTGCATGTTGTGGACGATGTCCGGGCCTGGGGACTGCATGTTATGGACGATGTCCGGCTCTGGGGACTGCATGTTGTGGACGATGTCCGGCTCTGGGGACTGCATGTTGTGGACGATGTCCGGCTCTGGGGACTGCATGTAATGGACGATGTGCAGCATTGGGGACTGCATGTTGTGGACGATGTCCGGGCCTGGGGACTGCATGTTATGGACGATGTCCGGCTCTGGGGACTGCATGTAATGGACGATGTGCAGCATTGGGGACTGCATGTTGTGTACGATGTCTGGGCCTGGGGACTGCATGTTGTGGACGATGTCCGGCTCTGGAGACTGCATGTTGTGGACGATGTCCGGCTCTGGGGACTGCATGTTGTGGACGATGTCCGGCTCTGGGGACTGCATGTTGTGGGCCGTTTGCAGCATTGAGGAATGCATGTTGTGTACGATGTCTGGGCCTGGGGACTGCATGTTATGGACGATGTGCAGCATTGGGGACTGCATGTTGTGGACGATGTCCGGGCCTGGGGACTGCATGTTGTAGACGATGTCCGGCTCTGGGGACTGCATGTTGTGGGCCGTTTGCAGCATTGAGGAATGCATGTTGTGGACGATGTCCGGGCCTGGGGACTGCATGTTATGGACGATGTCCGGCTCTGGGGACTGCATGTTATGGACGATGTGCAGCATTGGGGACTGCATGTTGTGGACGATGTCCGGGCCTGGGGACTGCATGTTGTAGACGATGTCCGGCTCTGGAGACTGCATGTTGTGGACGATGTCCGGGCCTGGGGACTGCATGTTGTAGACGATGTCCGGCTCTGGAGACTGCATGTTGTGGACGATGTCCGGCTCTGGGGACTGCATGTTATGGACGATGTGCAGCATTGGGGACTGCATGTTGTGGACGATGTCCGGGCCTGGGGACTGCATGTTGTAGACGATGTCCGGCTCTGGGGACTGCATGTTGTGGACGATGTCCGGCTCTGGAGACTGCATGTTGTGGACGATGTCCGGCTCTGGGGACTGCATGTTGTGGACGATGTCCGGCTCTGGGGACTGCATGTTATGGACGATGTGCAGCATTGGGGACTGCATGTTGTGGACGATGTCCGGGCCTGGGGACTGCATGTTGTAGACGATGTCCGGCTCTGGGGACTGCATGTTGTGGACGATGTCCGGCTCTGGAGACTGCATGTTGTGGACGATGTCCGGCTCTGGGGACTGCATGTTGTGGACGATGTCCGGCTCTGGGGACTGCATGTTGTAGGCCGTTTGCAGCAT